AGGCAAGCTTAAGCGGCACTAGGATAGTGAATTGATTCCCAGTCCCACATGTAGTGCTAGCCCTGCCCCCGGGCGGATTGAGCCTGGCACACAAAATAAATAACAACAATAAAAAAAGCGGACCATCATTTTATGGGGCATGATTTTTACATGAAAAAATCTATTTAAATATAACTTAAATTTTATTTCACGTGTTTGTTTTCTGTGTGACATTTTTATTGAAATTTCAACCATTTCTTTTGCTAATTTTTATGTGCATTCTTGATAATTCTTTTCTTTTTCACATAGTGTGGTAATTATCCTTTCAAACTACATTTTGATAGCTTTTAGATTCCATAGTATACTCAAAACATTTTTTATTTGCAAATTCTTCAATTTAATAAATATATCATTAGCTGAGGTGATTATACTAATTCTGTTTCTCTAATCAGATTTTAAAGCACTGAAAATGTATTTTCTATTCAAAAAATTTGTATTCTCTATTCTTTCTATTCAGTGGATCCTAGCCCACATAAGTGAATGCTGTGTTGTTGAATAAGAATGGCAGACTATTTTGATAAAATAGTGCTGCAGAAACTTTCCTTGCAAATTCATCAGCTTCCACTCTCTCCTCCTCTGTCCTTGGCTAAAATCAAGGATTCTGACAGGTTCTGGCCTAATTCCCATCCGACCCCGGCCCCCATGTTAAGCTCTTGTCTACCAACAACACAAGTCGTGTCCCACCCTTTGCTTCCAACCTATCAAGACCAGCACAGCGCTTGGAAAGTTCACGCACGACTCACTCTGCTATGGTCTGCCTATTGCTAAGGCCTCCTTTTGGCCCTGGTTCCCTTAGTCAGCCACGTATGATGATGCTGGTTCTATTTCAGCTGTGTCTGCTGGAACAGGGAGGCTCCTGAGTCTATTCCCAGGAAGGCCTCCGGACAGGGCCTGTTGAGATCCCCAACTGCGCTGCAGTGAGTTTCAGGACAAAGTCGCATGCTAAGTAACCTCCCCTAGTCGAGTAAATGAAGTTCTACATTATGCTTTGTGCCCAAGTTTTGTGCATTGATAACTAAGGCAATCCTTGTCACCTTGCCAGGATGATGGCACTGTCCGCATGGCCCTTGCAGGTGCTTGTGCTAGAGGTAAAATCATGAGAATCTGTCCCCGAGGCCCAGTTCTCTGTGTGGTGTCTGGGCCGGTCTAGAATCCCTATCTGTAACACAGTTCTGGGCATGGTTGTGCCCCCATGGGGAAGGTAGGAGAGGTGGGAACAGTACCATGAGGCATGGGGCTGGGGCTAAGCTGGGCACATCTGAAGCTCAGATTAAGCTGGTCTTGGGCGAGAAGAAGAGAGAAGAAAGACAGAACATTACCAGTCTTATGAAGTTTAATTTTAATAAGAGTTTAGTCAGAGCTTTGTCACCGATGCATACTGTAATTTAATTTTTTTGTATCTATGGGCATGTTATATACTTGAATATGGCGTTGAATATGAAATCTACTGTAAATTTCTAGCTTAAGATTAACATACTAATGCTTCCACATATTATTAGTCCCAATTAGACTAGAACTTAACTGTCTTTGACATGTAGGTAGTGCTCACCAAAAGTTTTGAAAATATATTGTCTTAGTTGCATTCCCCTACTTGGGACAGTCTCAAACCTACAGCTTAAAGGAGGAAAAGGACTTTTTGTCTCATGTTTTCATCCAATAGTTTGCAGCTCTGAGGAAGAAAGGCAGGGTGAAAGGGGCTGCATAAGGAAAGGAGCTCATGGTGTGGTGGTCAGGATGCAGGGAAGCTAGGATCGAGAAAGTGAGACATGTGCTTCTGGGTCATGCTCCGCGAACCTTTCTCCAACAGACCCCACCTCTCAAACAGATGTCACCTGTAAGACTCTCACATTTCCATCACCTTTTAAATATCCCCTTCTACAGGAGGGGGACATCCCTGTGGAGGGACATCCAGATCAAATTATAAAATGTTTTTTTCTCTTTAAGTTTAGAAAGAATTTCTAGGATTTGATTACATTTTTTTACCTTACAATTTTTGTACAAATCAAGTTATCAAGATTGATTTTTATCAAGAGTTGGCTTTCTATGCTCTTGATTTTGAGTTCCTCATCATCATGACTTTTACTAGTATGATTCTTTTCTCTAGAAATAATATAAAATAATGCATTGTTGCTTAACATTCTACAGTGACCAAAAATTGCCCTTCATACAAACACTGTAAGGGTCTGTGGTACTATATTTTGCTTTATTTTGAAGTTCTTACATGACTATTAGAGAAAATATTGAGTGTTGCTTAGGGAAATTATTTTATCAAATATTACAAACAAGGACCACCAAGATATGTTAGTGGACTAAGCGACTGCTTAGGCAAACACAGCGACCTGGGTTCAATCCATGGCACAATATTCTATACTGGGTCAGCACCCAGGCATGTGAGCCAACCACAAAGACTGGGCATGGTGGCACATGCCTGTAATCCCAGCACTTTGGAGGCTGGAAACAGGAGGATCACTGCAAGTCCGAGCTATGTAGTGAGACCCTGTACTAAATACAAAAAGGAAAAATAATTGTAATTGTATAATATTCTTGGTTTTTAAAACTTTATATTCCCAAGGAAAAAATAAATCTTTCTGAAATGGTATATGAATATATGTAATAGTAAAATAGAGATTAATTACAAAATAAATGAAGTTTCTTATCAAATTATCTAAAGAGTAAAAAAAATATATTAAATATATAATCTTGCCTTATTTTATGCAGTTTCTTTATTTAAATTTGAATATGAGAAAATTTCATCTATATTTTAAAAGTTATAATTGTTAACTGATGTTAATTGGAGAATGCAAAATAATTTGAAAGTGTTTTAATTTTAACCATTCTATGGAAAGATCCATCCTCAATGCATTTTAACATTTTTTATTTTATCTAAATTCATTGTCTATTTATTTTCTTAGAAATTAATATTTCTTATGCACATGAACATGTTAGTAAATCATTAGTATATGAATTTATCATAAAAATCAAAAAATCGACTTTAAAACTATTTGATTATATCTGTCTTCATGTTATGATATACAAATAATTTCATTATTCCAATAAATGATCTTTTTCAAGTTCATGTGGTACAGAAGCACTTTCAGTAGCACATGAGTTACTAAACATGAAGATCAGTTTTGCATAAACATTTTTGTGCAAGTTAATGAAAGGTTAAAAGTTATGAAGCAGAAGCATGTTGATAACACATAAAAAGTACATTTCACACAAACTCTCAGAAGAAACACAGCTGAGTACAATTCATTGGATTATGCTTGCTTGATTCTTGAAATGGAATTATCAAATTGCTGAAAAGTATGGATCCTAATCAAAGACAGTACACTATTGTAAAAACCACGCATGAGCAAAAGTTAGATGTGAAGAAGAGTGTTGGTGATCCTCTTTGTTCTTCATTGTGCAGGAATCTTATGCAAAAATATGATACAAAGCACTACACCTTCTGGACAAGAGCTAGTCCTTTTCTCTGTGAATGTAGGGAAGAGCAACTGAGGAGGCAAAAGAGACTTTATTTCTTTTTAATTCCATTTTAAGGGAAGGTCACTTAAGTTCACTTAAACTGTGAATAAACTCACTCCCTCATCTGCTCTCATTCAGCTAACCACAAACTGACTTAGAGAAAAGCAGGTTCATAAAGTAGGAACAAATAAAGTAGGAACAACTTGGGGAATTGGGAAGCATTAAACCACAACGTCCCACGACAGGCAGATAGATGGTCAACAGAATCTGGGAAATGCAAACCTTGTGACGATTGTGTGAAAGCCTTGTAATATTCATGAAAATGAGGTAAAGATATGTTGTTACTATGGAAACCAGAAAAGCATATATGATGGAGGTAAAGGCCAAATGGGAGCCAGCATTTCTGTGAAGTTCTGACTCCTAGGTTTCAGGATGTCCATCTCGAACTCACCATAAAACTTCCTTGTTCATGTCCTCTCACCTCTTAGGGGGCTCATCTTCACTCCCTACCATCTGCCACTACATTACTACAAATCCAAACATTGGCAGTAAGGCATAAGGACCAACCTGGAAAGGAAAATACAAACTAACAATAACAACACTAAGCACAAAACATTGTGAACCTCTCTTGAAAGATTCAAAAAATATTTTCTTCCCTTTTTTGTTCACCATGCTCTGCTGTATTCCTCAGGCTGCCCTATGATTCCTAATCCTCCAAATTACTAATGCAATAGCAGGAATTTCAGATGTATCATGACCTCTAACTGTGAAATACACTTTATTGGGTATATGTACTCATTTGCATATACACTAAATTAGACAAAATTATATGCTGCAGGGAATCTAGTATTTGAGGGATCACCAAGTATATTGAGAAATAGACCCTGTATCTATCCTATAATTAGACATAATGCTAGTGTTGAGAATGAGAAAATGAAGATCCTGAGAACGAGCCAGGACCTTTTACTCCTTCATAAGACAGATTCATATAAACCATCATATTATATGCAGTTACCTGAGACAGTATAAAATTTGAATTGAAACACAACCCATAAAATAAGATGAAACAAATTTTGGGACCAAAAAAATCAAAAACACATCCATAAAGACAAACATAGACCATCTAACATATTTCTAGGGCTTAAAAATAGCAAAGACAATACTTAAATACTTGTATTATTCTTCCTTTTTCTCAGAGAGTGTAAAAGTCTACTCTGCGGTCCGGTCATCTATAGACCTATACTGTCCTAGAGAATTTTCTCAATTATTAGATTTAAGACTCATCCATCTACCTGTGTGGAGGGAATATCTTTTAGTGTTTAGTTTTGTACTAAAATTATTGAGATGTTTAACATATGAGCACAAAGAAGGCCAAACTGTAACTCCATATGAGCTCCATTGAGCTGATGACACTCGACAAGGAAACAGAGCAGGTCCCCATTGGGATCTTGTTTTAAGGACTTTAAGGGTGTGTATCCTTTAACAAAAGGCACTGGACAGCTTTTGCATTGTCTTTTGTATGGCATACTTTACATTTTTGTTCCTCAAACTGTAGATTAAAGGATTCAACATTGGAATGATCAAGGTATAAAATATGGAAGACATCTTATCAGTGTCTTTGGAGTGACTGTCCTTGGGCTGCACGTACATAAATATCAAAGTCCCATAGAACACGGTGACCATGGTCAGGTGGGACCCACAGGTGGAGAAAGCCTTGAGCCTGCCCTCTGCGGACTTCATCCTGAGAATGGACATGAGAATGAGCAGGTAGGACACGAGGACCACCAGAAGAGAGGAAATCAAATCAAAGGCTGCAAATATCATAATTATAAATTCGACATCCTGAGTTCCTGAGCAAAGCAACGCTATCAAGGGGATGCAATCACAGTAGAAATGATTGATGACATTATATCCACAGAAGGGTAAGGTAAAAATCTTTATAGAAACAAGAAGGGACACAAAGGTGCAGTAGAAATAGGGTATCACCACTAGCACCCAACATACTCTTGATGACATAATGACAGTGTAGAAGAGTGGCTTACAGATGGCCACGTAGCGGTCATAAGACATTGCAGACAGAATAAAAAGCTCACTACCAATAAAAACAAGAAAGAAAGCCAGCTGCATGGCACAGAAATGATAGGAGATTGTATTTCTATCTGATACAAAATTGACCAGCATTTTAGGTCCCACAGCTGTAGAATAGCCAAGATCAACGAGAGCCAGGTGCCTGAGGAAAAAGTACATGGGGGTTTGTAGCCGGGCGTCCAGCTGGGTGAGGACGATCATGCCCAGGTTGGCCACCAGCGAGGTCAGGTAGATGATGAGGAACAACACAAAGAGTGGAGCCTGCAGCTCCGGACGATCTGTGATGCCCAGCAGGATGAATTCAGTTACCTCCGTGAGGTTGTGATTTTCCATGTTTATTTATCAGAACATCTATTGTGGATAAAATAGATTTCAAATATTATCACCTCAGATACATTTATTATGCAAAGTTAATAAACCTAAGATACATTCAAACTTTTCATTTTGCAATATTTGAAAGTAAAATTTATTTTTACAAGTGAAAATACAAATAGATTGAAATAATTTTTAGAGTTACATCTGTGGTTTTTATCTAGGGTTATTTTACCCTCAAAGAACATTATTAAATATCTAGGGAAATTTTTGTAGTTAATACTGATATGAAGGCTAATCATTGTGGTCAGTGATTGAAACCTATGCAAGATGCTGATGTTCAGATCTAGTATTTAGCTTAGAATAAAAAAGTCTGGCCTAAAGCACCAGTAGTTCTGAGGTTGAGAAGTCATGATAGACTTAAAGATGTAGGAATTAGGTGATAGATGTTTTTCTATTTGAAGTTTAATTAATTAAAACTATCTAGTCCCATTTGTTAATTACATTTATCAATGAGACACTTTACAGATCTAAATCAACTGACATTTCATATTTACAGTATCTGAAAATGCATAGAACAACCTAAGTAAACAACAGTAATATAAAATTAATATAGTTGTATTTGATATGTCCAATATTGCTCAAAGGCTTGGTGTGTATGGAATACATATATGAATTCAGAAAGTATAGCACTTAGATAAAATTAAAAATCCATAACACAAAGCTACACCATATATGTGGTGTTATATATTGGCACAATGCTTTGCATGTAAGCAGTATTTCCAGAAGATTCGTAGAGCTAGCGGTTAAGTAAAATTCTTGTCAAAACTAGTAAGCTCCTAGCAGGGTTGTTTGGTAGCAAGAGGGACTTTGCAGTGTTTCAGTGTGGCAGGAATTTGAAAATGTTTGCACAGGCCATTTACTCATGTATTCTTCCTCTGTGTATTTTTAAGTAGTGATAGCCACATACTTGAAAGAGATTTTTCTTTACATGTGGGCAATGCATATTCTTCTGCAGTCTGAGCTCACTTCAGCATCTGGGCTAAACTGAGGAATCACAGAGGGAAAATCTGTAGGCCAGGAAACAAAGTGTAGCCCTATGTTTACCTCATCCCATTTCTGTTATGACTAAGGTTCCATGACCCTCATGCACTGATTTTGCATTTGTCATCTTGTTTGTAACTAGCATCATAACATTTCCTGGATTATCTTGATATAAATAGGCATTAAGTAGCCACCTTCTTCTCTTGAAATTTTCATTAAAATTTAAAAGATTTTATGTGCATGTAACAAATTGGACCCATGGTATCAGTGTGGAAGCCTGAGGTGCATGAGAAAATGTCAGCAGATTAACAGAAAAAGGCCATCAGCATTGTTTTGTACAATGAATGCTCTTAAGATTCCCTTTGGAGTAAGGAATAATGTAACTTGACTGGTTGATGATTTATTTTATAAAGCTATACATTGGATTGAAATTTTACTATATACAACATCATAGAGACAAAATAAAGAGACAAAATAAAAGACAGGAATGATGAGTATACAGAGTTTGGGATGGGTTTAGAAGCTTCTGTGTGATATACCACCATAGCGTCTCCTAAATATGACACATATTAATGTTAATGGATCAGCGTTATGTAAATAAACAAGCATAAATCAAATGATATCTATTTGAAGATGTCTATTAGCCCATAGAACATCTAAAGTAGAGTAAAAATGAATGGCATCTAAAGGTAAAATTGGGGCTGGGGAGATAGCTTAGTAGAATAAGCACTCATCTGGCAAGTGCAAGGGCCTGAATTCAATCCCTGGTTCCACCAAAATAAATAAATAAATAAATAAATAAATAAATAAATAAATAAATAAATAAATAAAATAAATGAATGTAAAATGATTCCTTTCATGTAAAACATTACTAGTAATTTGTCCTTGATAGAAAATGAAATTAATAAAAAAGAAAATGAAAATAATAGCACATTATACATCAAAAATTTTAGGCACAGCCATCTGGACTCAAGCTGCAAGCAAAAAAGCAACAGTGTCACACAAGTTTACAGTGTTCTATGGACAGCTGATTCTGTATGTTATTTTCTTAGAGAGGCAAAGATTTATTGATCTCACAGCCTGTGGTGGTTCCAGCCCAGAATTGGCTGCTCCCAAGCAGAGTGGAACGTGGTGGAGGGGCACCCACTCAGGGCAGTAAGAGACAGCATAAGCATTGAGGGGGATTTGTGTGTTTTTTACCCACACACAATTTTGTCCTATGGCAGTGTTGTGGTTCCTTGGTTTCCGGTTCTGCTCCTTGCAGAACACCTGTGGTCACTACAACCAAGTGCCCGAGTCTAATATCAAATGACTATTGTAATCTGTACATTCACTCTCAGCTGAAACTACACTGTGTCTTCTGGTTTGATCTGATTGCAATCATGTGATGCTTCTATAAGTCATGTTCAGGGTCGCCAAGCACCAGGATTCTGTAAATTGGAAAAAAACAGATACAGATGCTCGCTGTCTTGCGCTTTGGAGTTGGCTGAAAACATTATTCCTGATTTGCTAATATTTATGGAATATTTAAACTTGGTTCCTCTCTTGCTTTGAGGTAAAATGTTCCATAAAATGCAGAATAAAGCAAAAAGTGAAGAGCACTTTGCCATTACCATAAAACTGGACTCCTAATAGACCCTTGATACTGAATAATTTGCACATAGATACAGACAGACCTATTTATCTGTCCGTCTGTCTATCTATCTATCTCAATGTGAAGTGAAACTTTTGCATATGAAGATATGAACAATAAATGCCATTTTCCAATGATTTACATAAACTTAAACGCTAAAATAGTTTTGAGGGAGTCACACCAAAAGCCAAAGTCTGTTAAAATCTAGGGACTTGGAAGGTTACCCAAATAGAAGAGGAATTTCAGCAGTTTCGACCTCTGTTGTTAAAAACCAAACCAAACCAGACAACAACAAAACAAAACAAAAAAAATCTATACACTTTTATTTGGGCTTCCTCTCTACCTTTGGTATCCAATAGATATAAAATTCCATGAATTCAACGTTAATCTTTTGCACATGTACACCATGCATGTTTCAGTGATGCTCATAAGATCTCAGTAGAGCTGGAGATATGAAAATATTAGTTTGAAGACAGAAGCAGAGCAGGCCCTGTGGCCGTTCAGGAATTATGCAGTAGTAGAAAGCACAGCAAAGCAGTCAGTTTCACTCTTGACGTTAGATTGCAAACCAGAGCACACTGTGAACATGGCCGTGGAGGCTGCACAGATTCAGGCCCCAGGAACCCTTATGTCTTTATGTTTTAATTTTTTAATTCATTTTATCGAGAGATAAATAGCAATGACACAGTTTCAAAACTGATTATTCGGACAGTTTCAATAATTAACACATTTTTGAATATTGTTGCCTTATGTCTTTATTTACCTGCGATGGAAACTCTTTCTTGGTTCCTCCATGAATTTCTGATCATCTCATCTTTGAAGCTGATTTACAAGGGTTTTTTTTTTTATTGTTTTCTCCACTTTCTCTGAGGAGATGCCAAACAATTTGTTGGTTATTCCCAAAGTGACTTAAAGATTCCTGAAATGCTTGGCTGGTGTCCACTAATTGTCAGAGACAATTCCTCCGCAACTTTGAATGTATTTATTCATTGTGGGACCCAGGAAACGGTCTTTTGAGGTTTTACCCAAAACCCTTGTATTATACAAAATAAATGAGTTCTACAGAGCAACACTAAGAGTGCTAATCTAACAGCAAATATTTATTATATTTATTAATAAAGAAAACGCATAACCCAGAGTCACAAAACATCATAAAAGAGAGAAGAGAGTTGAAAATGTTCTTACGACTCCAAGAAGCAGGAAGAGTCATCTTTACAAGGTGACCTTTGTGTGAAATACCCAGAAGAGAAAAATGCATGGAGACCAGAAGCCGAGTGCAGGGACTGAAGACACTTGGCCATGGGGTGGAGTTACATTGGGAACAACTGGAACTCGGTAGCAATGGAAACCTGCATAGCATTCATGTGCAAACTTGAATGCAATTATTCTTATCTAGTTTCTCCTATTCTAAATTTTATTTAAATTGGTGAAAGACTGCTTAAAATATTACGTTCTGTTGATGCCAGTTATCTTAGGAATCATATCATTTATTTTTCAGGTCAGATGTTTCAAACTATACATACAAGAGGAAAAATTAAAAAACTGAATGCAACATACAAATTGTAAAATGCATACTCATTTCTAAAACTCAAATAAGTATGCTGTATAACTCTAGCTAAGCACATCTAATTGTCCTCATAGCCTTCATCAGAGATCTTTTGATGTTCTGAAAACATTTACTTTAGAAAGTATATTAGGGTACATTAAGTCAAATTTTCTTTTCTCAAATTGAAATATTATATACTTCACTATAAAAGATATAATTGCTAAGGGTAGTTTTGTATAAATTAAATGTTATTTAAAATATATTAATTTATATATTTTGATATTAACTAACAAATTTAATTAACATTTCAATGGCCATTGCAGAATGCATTTTGTAGGGAATTGTAATATTATTTTGAATAAAGAAACAAATAAATTAAACTGTGCTGTATATTTTCATCAAAATGAATGAAATAATATCGACTGCCTATATTCAATAGTGTTGTTTATTACCATGTGACAATTTTCACAGGGTTTTATACTTCAAATAATTATTTTACTTAAATCTTAATGTGCGCTCTGTGTCCTCACTCATGAACATATGTGCACGGAATTAAAATCAGATGCTGCACTGGACACATGGTTTGCTGAATAGCATATTTTGGCTCTATTGCATTAACACATTATCACAGGATCATAAATGAGTAATGAAACATGGTAAGATTACATTAGGGTATGTATGTAGAACACTTCAGTATGTTCATAGGCTACATCCATGTAGCAGTCATTCTGCTAAAAACATCCTCTTGAAAATGCAATCACGTTTCAGTTTAACTCAACCACACCACAGAATAGAAAGCCTAACAAAGTGACATTCGCACATGCACACAAAAAAGAAGCACAGACACAAAATCACACACTTGGCCTCAGGAAAGTTTATTGTAATGATGAAAATACACACAAAAAATTGCACAATGAGAGACAGAGGGAAGATGAATATAAGTTCAATTAGAAACAACTCAAAACTTGTCTCCAAATTAATTAATTAACTAATTAATCAAAGCCTGTATGCTAGCATGGAGTTCACTGTGAAAGCCATAGTATCAATGCCCAGAACCTCCAACAACAAAAAGACGTCCAACACTTCTTCTGTGTCCAATACTCTTTTCACTCTCATGCAGCACATCAACTTACTGATAGACATTGTTGTCACTAGAAAAGTTCAATGAATACTACATTACAATCCATCTCTTTCTCAAGGATGCACACACTTTTAATGTTTTGCTCAGAGATATGTGTACAATATTTTGAAGTTTAAGAAGTACCAGAGTCCAAACTTTGAAAGTACATGGAGCCCATCTGTGGAGGGGAAAAATGTTATTGTATAACTTATATTGCACTTGGCTTTACAGAAAAATATTTATACATCATTTTCCATGTCCTATGAAGAGCATATTTTACATCTTTGTTTCTCAAGCTGTAAATCAATGGATTCAGCATGGGGATGACCATGGTATAAAATATGGAAGCCACTTTGTCAGTGTCAAAGGAGTGACTGGACTTGGGCTGCACGTACATAAATATCAGAGTCCCATAGAACACAGTGACCACAGTCAGGTGGGACCCACAGGTGGAGAAAGCCTTGCGCCTGCCTTCTGCAGACTTCATCCTGAGAATAGCCTGGAAGATGTGCAGGTAGGACACGAGGACCACCAGAAGAGAGGAAATCAAGTTAAAAGCAGCGAGGATCAGAATTATCACCTCAATTTCAAGAGTATCTGAGCAGAGCAATGACAACAGGGGGAGACTGTCACAGTAGAAATGACTAATGACATTGTGTCCACAAAAGGATAAGATGAAAATCTTTATGGTGACCAGAAGAGACACAAATGTGCAGTAGAGATATGGGATTGCCACTAGCACCCAACACACTCTTGGGGACATGATGACAGTGTAGAGGAGAGGGTTACAGATGGCCACATAGTGGTCATAGGACATCGCAGAAAGGATGAAAAGCTCACTAATAATGAATACAAGAAAGAAAGCCAGCTGTGTGGCACAGAAGTGGTAGGAGATTGTATTTTTTTGCTCAACAAAATTGACCAGCATTTTGGGCCCCACAGCTGTAGAATAGCCAAGGTCAGTGAGAGCCAGGTGTCGGAGGAAAAAGTACATGGGTGTTTGCAGCCTCGAATCCACCTGGGTTAGGACGATCATGCCCAGGTTGCCCACCAGCGAGGTCAGGTAGATGATGAGGAACAGCACAAATAATGGAGCCTGCAGCTCAGGACGGTCTGTGATGCCCAGCAGGATGAATTCAGTCACCACCGTGAGGTTGTGCTCCTCCATCTGCATTAGCTAGAAAACATGCTCTAGATAGACATAGTAGAAAATGTATTGTATTTGCTATATTTACCCATGGGAGGTTAACTATGAAAGCTAGTGTGCAGAAGGGGTAGCTTCATATTCAAGTGAAAATTTTATATTAATACGCCATTCCCAGGTGATAACACGAAAGGAAGACAGAGCTTGACTATCTTTCTCAAGAAAGCTGATTTTATTCACAGAAGAACACTTTCCGTATCTAGAGATGGCTTGGTGTCCCCAGGGGTGGGTGACTTTCACCAGGCTTCTAAAGGGAGCTTAAAGTGCAATGCATGGTGTGCATTGACTACAGGACCCAAAGATTTACCGAAGGTATAGTACTGATGTCGACGGGAAAAACCTGAAACAATAGATGAGCAGGGAGTCAGGGATTGAGACTCCGGTCAACAGGAGAAATGATGAAGCTTAAGTATTGTGAAAACTTTGCGTGATGCAAAAGGCCTAAGGATTGTAGTGGTCTTAAATGTTGACTTTCACTTATACACTCATAATCACATTCTGGTACTTATTCATTACATGTGATGAAGTGGGATAATACATACACCAGTGAGACAGCAAAAGCTTCTATCAACAAATTCCAAGAATGGAAACATTACTTACATTGCCCAAGCTACTATTTCAGAGCCTAGTGCTTTAGAATATCTGTACTTATAGGTAATATAAAAAAAGTCATCAACACATATCATACATGAATGAACAAAACGCTATAACGATCACAGTGAAAATGGCTTATCTATGAAAAATAACTGCCTGAAGAATATGTATGTTTGCATATTTAATCAATGTTGTACCTTAAATTGGTGCACAAAAAGCTTTCTATGTCAAGTATTTTGAATGCTCAACAGGAAAATGCTCTTAAAGGGTTGCTGAGAAGGGTTATTGTTTCTGTAAAACATTCAAGAGTCTCCAGGGACCTGAAAGTAGTTCTCTGTGAAGATGTACATGTTTTTCCTGTGCTTTATTTTTTGTTCTTTTAATGGTAAGAGGGCCTTAGCTCAAAGACATTTTCTTTGCCTATGCACACACATTCCTCTGCAAAGAGGCTTTGCTTCTTCAGTGTAAAGCATTGAGCTGATGAAGGACCAATGGAGCAGAATACACAATACATGCTACATATTCCAGTCCTGATCCCACCACAACTAACTGCTCCTATTCACTGAGCACCATTGAATGAAAAGTTGCTTTGAACTGATTATTATTATTATCTTTCTGATATATATATATATATATATATATATATATATAGTATGTTGTAGTGCATTTCTAATTGATGGTCAACTTATTACATCCAGGAGAATTAAGCTAGCATGAAGCTAGGTGCAGGAGGCCCACCTGAAGATTGTTGCCCGCACCATAAAGGCAGAGCAGGAGGAGCTGCTGGAATGCTGTTAGGGATGGTTTGTTTGGAGAAGCTGTTGTAGCTGTTGGAAGGTGCTAGTTCCCTTGGGCTGTTCTGCTGGAGGACCTTGCCATGCTGGCTTTCCTGGCGAACTTTGAAGAAGCCTGGGTCCTCATCTTGAGCATCACTTCCTGCCTCTGGAGCAGAAGTTGGTATGCTGCTCAGCCTCATGGAGCAGCTTGTGGCATTGGCTTTCCTGTTGGGAACTTGGTTGTCCTCATCGCTGGAGAATTTTGGGACCTCACTGTAGGTGAGGATGGCAGCAGTAATTTTAGGAGAACTCTGGTGCGTACGCTGAACATTGCTTCCTGGCTCCCGTTCAGACCCCTCAGCCTGCTAGCACAGATCTTTCATCCCACTGACATCAACTTTCTAGCTTCCACCACTGAACTTGAGCCTTTTCAGCACAGATCCATGAAGCAGACCTGCATGAGACTTTGTCAGGAGCTCTAGGCCTCCAGCAGGACTGGTGGGAGGCAGTTATGAGGTCTAGGTTTTCATCTGGACTCACGCAGGATATTAGGATCTAGGCTCTAAGCTGGAGTCTTTAGTGTTTATGTGTGTGGACAAATTGTCTACACTTCCTGTCTTTGATTCTTGGGTAATTCGTCACGAAATATGATTATAAAATGTGTCCTGTATATTGTTCCCCTTGCGAGAACCCCAAAGAACCCCAGTCCATAACATTATATATATATATATTCATATTATCTATGATTTAGAAATTGTCTTTGTATGAAAAATTATACCTAAAAATATGTATGCTTTTATATCTATACATATCTACATATTACTCTCACTATAAATTTAATGAAGGTATACATTGCATAAAACAGTTTCTTATGGTACATAATATTATACGGGCCCTAAACACACTAATCATTAGATCTATTTAGATGACTGGAACTGATCTGAAATTATTCTACAGGGACCGGGGAGACAGCTCAGTAGAATAAGCTCTTGCCTGGAAAGTGCGAAGGCCTGAGTTCAACCCCCAGTTCCACATAAAAAAAGAAAAAAAAAATCATTCTACACATCAAATTCAGAAGAAGAAAATGTACTGTCACATAGCACATAGAAATGTGCAGTAAAAACGAAATGCGTCCACATATATCTAAGGCCAAGAGATTTCAAAACATGACAGAAACATATTGATAGTATGTAAGATCATTATTATTATAAAATTGTGTACCAATGTTTCTTTAAATATGTGCACAAAAAGAAAAGTAATACTTTAAATTTAAAATTGTAGTATCAGTCATCTGTAAATCAGGTGTACAGAAATGAGATTACATAAAATTAAATGTGCATCTGAGTCAGTATCAATTCCTTTATTTTATGTAGAATGGCATTTATACTATAACAGCTCCCTGACAGACTACATTATCTTACGTCCTTACCATTCATAATTTAGATTTACAGAAAAAAATTGCTAGTGGCAGATTCATAAGAACACTTATAATAAAACCACTAAGAGAAAAATCATACTTTTGTGTGACTCAATATTTAATCATGGAAGGTTAAGAAGGGAAATAAATTAAAAGGCAATTACTGACTTTTCTATAAGGAAAGATGAAAAACATTTTCTTCCCCTCCTCTGGAATTCTATGGAATAGGCAAATTGATTTTTATTGATATTATCCTTATTGAATATTTGACTTTTATTTGCTAAATGTATTCAAGTCTCTTTGAGAAATGGAAAATATTTAACATTACCATATGTAAACTTAAATTCCCCTAAACCTCCCCTCATTTTTTTCACTTTTTGATGTGAAGGGCAAACTCTTCCAAGATTCAATCATGCTTGTATATTTGTTTACCTAAAATTTGATTGAAATTTATTTCTGTGAGATTTCCCCTACATACCTAGAATAAATAAGTGTTTGAGGGAGGTCAGAATGAGATATTGAATCCATGGAAGTTCAAATTCTGCTTTTGAGAAAAATTCTATAGCCCCTTACTTACGCTTCATTTCATTTCAGTTGTTGCCCCCTTTAGGCAGGGCAGTGTGCAAATGCGTATGACTATGTGTACATACTCATAATGTAGAAAATGAAATGTTTTATAAGCACACGTAATGTGTGTTGTTGATTATTATACTCTCAAAATATTCGGAAATATTTAAAATCATTATGAAACAAAGAGGGCTCCAGCTGCTTCTCAGGAATGGATAGGGTGGGAGAACACACACGGGCACACTGAGCCACACAGGGCCACCTACCTGCGTTGGTGAAGCCTTAGTGAACTGTGACCGTGTGCATGGCCACTGGTTATGTATGGCAATGCCCGCAGCCTTCTGACTACATTCACCTATAATTAAAACTCGCTCCTGGTTTTCCCATGTGTTTTTAACAATGCGTATACAAGACATTTTATGGATTATTTGTAACTTTTTGAGAATGTCCCTGAGGAGAAGCCAAGCAAGTGGTTGATTATCTCTAAATCAACCTAGAATTTAGTGAAATGCCTGGAGGTGGTCCAGTATTTATCAGGGACAGTGTGGATACAATGTGAGTACATTTATTAATTGACAGAATGACCAACAACCTAATTTCTGTATTTTATTTAAAAAGAATTATCACTAGAGTTTTTTTTTTAAAATTAGAAAGTGCTTCCTGGCAAGAGCAAGGGACTGAGTTCAATCCCTGGTTCTGCCAAAAAATAAATACATAAATTAATTAATTAAAAAATAAAATTTTCATATTTAAGGTACTAAAATTCAAAGTAGCCAAGATGTGAAAAATGTGGATTATTCATGAAATGCAGTATCAACTAGCTTTAAATATGAAACCGTCTCCATGGGATGCCATAGATGAGTCTGAGCAGCATTGGGCTAAATAACACTGCCCCATCACAGAGGGGAAGATACTGAGAACATCTCCAATGTCACAAAATGGTAATATAACTGGAGAAAGTCAGACAGGAGGGTGCTAGATACCAAAGCTGGGATGTGGGAAGAGTGAGGAGTTCTTCGTAAACAGTCATGAGGGGGCTGGGGAGATAGCTCAATAGAATAAGCTCCTGCCTGGTAAGTGCAAGGTCCTGAGTTCAATCCCTGGTATCAAAAAAAGAAAAAAACAAAAACAAACAAACAAACAAAAAAAACAGTCATGAGGACCTTGTTACGACACATGAGAAGAGTCCAGGAATATGCCTTACTGCATTGCGTGTATAACTAAAGTAATTCACTGACTTACCAACAATCAAGTTGCAAATCTTCACAGATGCAAAAGGGTATTGTATTAAAAACATTCCTGCATTGGAAAACCTAAGGATGTTGGCCACCTACCTACTTCACTGTTTTAGGATAACTGTAGAAGACAATTTGTTGACAATGTTTGTATGTATGTGATGTGTGTGTCACAAGAGTGTGTTTATGTTTTACTATATTTGTGTCAAATCTGTATAAGACTTACTACGTAGGACATACAAATATACCAGGCTTAAGAACATCCTCCTTGAAAGGGAATTCATTTATAAGTCAAGAACTTTCTGTCCTGTGTTGCACATTTGTAATTAAAGATATAGAGCTATTGTTAAGTAAAAGAAAGCATTTTTTAAAAAAAAAACA